GACCAAGAAACCAGTCCAAGACCTCTGACCAAGAAACCAGTCGGCCAGGTCTGACCAAGAAATCAGTCTGCTGTTCCTGACTGAGAAACCAGCCCACCAGCACTTTCTGGCAGAGCTGGTGGGGGCAGCTACCAGTCAGAGCCACTCTTCCTGCACAGGGCCCTGAGCAAAGCCTCGCGGATGTGGCTGGATTTGATGCTGTAGATAACGGGGTTCAGGGCGGGGGGGATGATGAGGTAGGTGTAGGCCACCAAAGTATTGACCAGAGGGGGAACGTTCTTCCCAAAGCGGTGGATCATGGACAGTCCAATCATGGGGATGAAGAAGACCAGGACAGCACAGATGTGGGACACACACGTGTTCAGGGCCTTGAGACACTCCTCCCTGGTTGCCAGGCTGACGACAGTTCTGATGATGAGGATGTAGGACAGCACGATGAAGATGAAGTCCATCCCCACCGTGGACAAGAGAATGATCATGCCATAGAAGACATTGACCTTTATATCTGCACATGCCAGGTTCATGATGTCAGGGTGGAAGCAGAAGGAGTGGGAAAGCTCCATCTTCCCACAGTAGGTCAGTCTCTTGAGCAGGAAGGGAAGGGGAAGGAGGGAGACCATCCCCCTCAGCACGATGGCCAGGCCTATCTTTGTGACAGTGGCCTTGGTCAGGATGGAGGGGTGTCTGAGGGGGCGGGAGATGGCGATGAAGCGGTCGAAGGCCATGGCCAGGAGCACGGAGGACTCGATGAAGGACAGGATGTGGATGAAGTACATCTGGGCCAGGCACTCATCGAAGCCGATGCTGCGCCGGTTGAACCAGAAGAGCCCTAGCGTGGTGGGCAGGGTGCAGAGCGCCAGGCCCAGGTCGGTGAGCGCCAGCATGCACAGGAAGTAGTACATTGGCTCGTGGAGACTCTGGGTCTTCTTGATGATGAACAGGATGGTGCAGTTCCCCAAGAGAGCAGTGAGGTAGAGAGCACAGAAAGGGATGGAGATCCAGGGGTGAAGGGCTTCCAGGCCCGGGATGCCCAGCATGAGGAAAGAGGAAGGCTGATGGAAGGAGCCATTGAACTCCCACGTGGCACGTGAGTCCTGCTCCATCCCAGCTCAGCTCTCGCATGGCCTAGACCTAAAACACACCAACAACACAAACCCCAGGTAGTTGGACTCTGCGCTGGATGGAGAGGCTGCACATCCCTCCACCTCCCTCCAGCCTGAGCAGGCACCCACGTGCTGTTTGGACACTGGCACAGGTACCAACCACAGTGTCACTTCTGACTGCAGCCCTGTTTATCCATTAAACCCTAGAATGAAGGAAATGGATGGATATTTCTTCTTGAAAAAGAAAAAAAAAAAAACCAAAGAAAAACTTGGGAATGAAAGGGAAAACCTTCCTGGTGAGCACCACTGCTTCACAGCTGTCCCCAAATTCCGGAGTCTGAGATGCTTTGTTGAGTGAGCAAATGCCTTGTCTGTGATCATCCCAGTCAAGACCAAGCTGCTAAGCTAAGGCTTCTTTTGGATGACAACTGGGTGAAAAATTGATGACATTTTAACCTGATACTTCTTATTTAAGAATCAACCTTGGAAACAAATGCAAAATTTGTTGGCACTGGCATAGGTTGGGCAGAGAAGCTGTGGCTGCCCCTGGATCCCTGGAAGTGTCCAAGACCAGGTTGGATGGGGCTTGGAGCAGCCTGTGCTGGTGGAAGGTGTCCCTGTCCAGGGCAGGGGTGGCACTGGGTGGGCTTTGGGGTCCCTCCCATCCCAAAATATTCTGGGGTTCCATGATGTAAAATGTACCAGAGAATCAGCCCCTCAGCCCCTCAGAAGGTGGGCCCCATGGTGAGGTGGATTTTCAGTGACTCTCACAGCCAGGCTGTTGCTCATTTCACAATCCAACTACCACATGCAGAGAAACAAATGAGCAAAACCCCACTTGTGCCGTGCCTGTGAATTTATCAATAACAGGAAAACA